TTTTTTTTTTTTTTTTTGGTTTTCCTAGATAGGATTTCTCTGTGGCTATGGAACGGAGCCAGTTCTGGAACTCACTCTGTAGACCAGGTTGGCCTTGAACTCAGAGATCTGCCTGCCCTGCCTCCCTCGTCCTGGGATTAAAGGAGTGCTCTGTGCACAACAGCCTCTTCTCTCCTGCACACCTGCGAACACAGTCACAAACACACACGCGTGCGCACGCGCACACACACACACACACACAAAGGTTGGTGTGCTCCGTATTTCACGATTTAACTCTCCTCATGATCTGACAATAATGTACAGGCAGTGCTGGCTCCTGGCTCCCGGGCAGACCCCACTGCGCTTTAGTCACAGTTCTCCTTCCCTCCACGTCATCTGTCTGACAGCCAGGAGACCCCAGGTCCTGTCTAGTCAGTATGGTAGGAGACGAAGCTGGGGGATGCCATTTTTAAAATTTTTTATAAAAATCAAGTTTGCTCCCAGCTGTAAGAATGACTTTCACCTACCGCACACGCCCCAGAAGTACTACGCTAGCCTCAGGTCACTCATCTCCGTCCTGTTTCTCTCTTCAAGTTTTTTGAGATTTAACTACAACTGCGTCACCCCCCCTCCGCCCCCAGTCCCTCTCATGCTCCTGCCTCTTTGTTCTCTCAAATTCACAGTCTCTTTGGCTTAATTCCTTCACTCTCTGCTGCACGCTTTTGGTTGAGGCTGTGGTCTCTCAGCCATGTTGCCACGCCCGTGTCAGGCCTCCCGGCCATAATGGCCTCTCTCACGCTCCCTCCTATAATCTGCCTCAGCTACAGACAGGGACTAGCACTCAGCCTGCTCAAGTGGGACTAGGCATTTAAAACTGTGTGGTTTGAATAAAAACGGTCCCCATAGGCTCAGAGATCTGGATCCTTGGACCCCAGGGAGTATGTGGGAGGTGTGGCCTTGCTGGAGGAAGTGCGTTGCTGGGGGATGTGGTGGCACAAGCTGTTAACCCCGGCAGAGCCTTCTAGACTAGCCTGGTCTACAGGAGAGCAGTGCTGTGTGGAGAGACCCTGCCTTGAAAAGTTAAAAACTTTTAAAACAAAATAAAAGCCTCAAAGCTAGAATTTTTTCAGGCTACAAGGGAGCAATCTCCTTTAACGTCACAGCATGTGACAGACACTAGACTTGTTACTTGGGTACTAAGACTCTAAATCCAGTTCTAAGTTTTGTATAGCAAGTACTCTTAACCACTGAGCCAATTCTCCCCGTTCTGTTTTCTTCAGAGAAGGTCTTTTTTTTTTCTTCAAGACAGGGTTTCTCTGTAGCTTTGGAGCCTGTCCTGGAACTAGCTCTGTAGACCAGGCTGGTCTCGAATTCACAGAGATCCACCTGCCTCTGCCTCCCGAGTGCTGGGATTAAAGGCGTGCGCCACCATCGCGCGGCTTCAGAGAAGGTCTTATTTTAGAGCCTAGGCTATCCTTGAACTCACAGCAGACCCCTGCCTCAGTCTTCCAAGTGCTAGGATTACAGCCATGACCGACTACACACAGCTCTTAGTCTATTGCAAGTGACTCCGCACTGCACAGCTCCCAGGCTAGCCCCATCGCACTGCACAGCTCCCAGGCTAGCCCCATCGCACTGCACAGCTCCCAGGCTAGCCCCATCGTAGGTTAGCTTCCCTCTCTGACTTCTGTGTGTGCTCCCTCTACCATGCTGAGACTGCAGCTTCCCTGCGGACTTCCCGTCTCTGCCTCTTCTCTCCTTGCTCCCTCACAGCCGTGCTGCTCAGTCAATGGCCTTTCGGTCCTCTAACACCCAGCTGTCCTAGGCTGCCTGAGACTTGATGACCACACCTGAAACAGCTTCCTTCACAAGTAAGAACTCCCCTCCCCGTTTCTGCCGCTGTCAGCATCTGTCGTTCTTAGTCTCCACCACGGCAGCCAATCACAGGTTCTAGCTTCGTCTTAACTCCATGTACTTCCCACCATAGGACACACGATTTCACATTCAGGTTAGCACTATGACTACTTTTGCTTTTTTTTTTTTTTTTAATTTTTGAGACAGGATCTCACATAGCCGAGATGGTTCTGTAGCCATAAGCCATGGTTAACCTTGAACTCCTGATCTGGTGCCAACTCCCACGGAGCCTGGACCATGTACAGGTGTGTCCATGCCTGGGCTATGACACTGACTTTCTTGTTTGTTTTTTGAGACAGGATCTTACTATGTA